ATATATATATATATATATATATATAAAGTTTATTTCTGAAGTGATTAGTTTTTTCAGAAAAACATAAATTTAACAGAAATAAAATCACTGGTTAAGACACGTCATTTGATATACATTTGGGACCATCATTCAAAAATAATTTTTCCATTATTGTGATTGACAGAACCACCAGTTTTCAAATATAATGACTGTGAGGACATCTTTACTTTACTTTGTTATATACAAATACATACATACATCTACTAGAAAATAATTCATTGCTTTGTTTCAAATTTAGCTTTAAAGCTTCTTTTTTTGCTAGAAGGTTTCGAAACTCGGTTTCTAGCGTTGTAATTACGCAGACATGCTGCTGTGTCACTAGGGGGCAGCTTTAAAAATACGAAAATCTAAAACAAATAGCGTCTAGTACACTTGTATCATTACTTTCGGTACAACAGTTGTTTTTCTTTTTTTATAAAGTTGTTCAACACATGGTTCATTGTTGCTCAGAAGGACACCTCTTCAAAGCATCAAGAAATTTTTATTGTAAAAGGCGGAAGGCAATGGCATCTGTGAGCTTAATTTATTTCTAAACTGTAACGTGTGGTAGCTTGTCCGGACTGTGAATCCGATGGTTCATGGTTCGCGATCCATTACCTCACAAACACTATCCGTACATTGGGGCCTTGGGTATGCTATAATAATGACAGTCAAATCTCTTAGTCGATCAGAGGTGGTGGTAGGTGCTATCCTTCTTGTCCATCAGTTCAAAATCAAGGACGGCTATGGGCAGATAGCCCGAGGTATAGCTTAACACAAAATATCAAAAACAAACAAGAAAACATAATTAATTCATTCATTAAGATAGCATTTGAAATTTATCTTTTCTTTTGCTGCCAGAAGCCACTGTACAAGATTTCTCTTGCTCAGTAACTGTACAGCTGAAGGAGAAACTGGACAGTGTTTTAGGAAGAGCGATCACTGACAGTTAGTACTCTTCTTTCCTACATTGAAACAATAAATAGAAAATGTTACTAGTATGGGAGTTATAAGTTTCAGCCAAAAGGTATTTGATGAGTTTGTTATAGTGTGGTAATCTGTTGTGGATTATGTGACCATCAGGCAGTCAGGTCTTCGAAGAGTAATAATAGGTTCCAAGGGAGTAATAAGAGCAAGATAAATGTGGACGTCCAAGGTACGTGAGTTAGTAAAACGATGGTAAAAACACAATATTTGGCAAGGAACCCAAGTTTCCTTTTTCATATTGTTACACAATGTAAAAACACTGGCATAATAATTTACAAGAGTTATCTGGTTTGCATAATACACTGTTTCGAGGACTTACCATGATTGTTCACCGGTGTGGTGACAAAGACGGAACCAAAACAACAGACAGGACTCGACTCCTGGGCGAAAAAGATAGAAGAACTTTCACTGGTCACAACAAGAGTCAGACTTCATTTGAACTGAATAAAACACATTCACCAACAACCCACACCATTACTCCAACTACAGTACAATAGATACAAAACCACTAAGATACATTAGCGTCCATGCAAAGCTAATGGAACTAAAAAGGTGAAACCCGTGTGTGTTATTTCTCTTTCTGCTCCTAGCAACCCAAACAGACAATAAAAACTAAGTACTAACAATGCATGTTAGTCACAAGTTATTGAAGCAACACTATTAAACTTTTCCTGTATTAAAGCTACAGCCTTTAGAAAGCTTCAACAAGTCGATAATAGATGTTATAGTTATTATTTTTAAGTTTAACACTAACATTAAGATGCAACGACAATTTAACAATCTTGAACACATGGATTAGTGTATTTATAAAATACTAATCAAGGAAAATGATAAAATCTTCACCACGAATCTCTATCCGACCTTACTTTAAACTTTTAAATCTGGATTAGAATTTAAAATGTTAACTTAAATGTTAATCTTAGGTAGTTTGACAAAGCATTCACATCTAACGACATGTGAAGTAGTAATAAAATGGTAGGGAAACATGCTCTTGCTTCAATAAGCCCTCTTAAGGCACTAAAAATCCTCAAATAAGGAAAAAGGTCATACACACATACACCCCCCCCCCAAAAAAAAAGAAAAATAATACTGAACTTAACCAGTAATCAAACTGAATAGAATGAACAGTTCAAATGGATGATGCACTAAAGACATCTCTATGCTAAGTAAATATTAAGTCATTAATTGCAATGAAACAAATTAAGTACAACTGAAAATCACAATGATATAAAGGTAAAATAAAGCATAGCGATTTCAAGGTATGGCGTCGAATATGATAATAAACATCACATTAGTTCAAATCATGCTACAATTATTATAAAACACATGGCATAGTTGGCCCCCAAAATAGTTTCAATCAACACAGAGAAAAGCGAGTAAAATAAAAAACTGTAAAACTTAGTATTCATAAAATCAATACTGAATCTAACGTACATAAAAGCCAGTGTGTGTCACGTCACATCACGCTTGATTTCTCGAAATAGGAGGAGTCATAAAAGCCAAAATGCATTTATCCAGATAGAATAGTTCGTAATGCCCATTACGATTTTAGTGATGGGGGCGAAAGGGGCCATGAGGGGGTGCCGTGAAACCTTAAAAGTGTAGTGAGTGTTGCTATAATAAGTCTAAAGTAAAAACGTAGCGTGGGATCATTTTAAACTTAAATCGTTTCTGAATTAAGCCATTTTGTTTTATTGTTTGTTTGTTTGTTTG